AGGGATGTTTTGATCCTGTTAAGCTCAGGACAGTGGCAGGAAATCCATGTGAACAAGTGTTCAGGTGATCTCTGGGGTGCATGGCTGCTAAAACAAGCATCATCTCCAGCCTCAGACTCTGCTAACAGAGCCGTTTAGCCCAGCTTCTGGGTCGAGTCCTGGGTCACATCCTCAGACAATTAGAAGTTCAGTAACTGCTATGGGCGAGTCTCCATGCACCACGTGATACAGGTTCACGGATGTTCATATTGTCATTGGATTCTTGAAACCTCATTAGTTGAAAAAGTCACATGAAGAAAGGTCTGTTGGGAAAGAGCTCTTTTTACTTTTTCTCTTTATTAAGAAAGCTTGACTGAGGGAGCCTGCTGATCCGCTCTAGGAAGACAATGCCAATTTGGATTTAAGGCTTTCCTCAGTATTTTTCTTCTGAGATAAATGGTGACTATGTCTTCTGGGTCTTTCAAAAGTCTTCTAAATGAATTTCCTTTTAGAACCTAAGATTCTTTACACTGCAGGATTTGAGGAGAAAAGCCTGCAGTTTTTCAGAAATAAGATTTTAATGGTTTGGGAGAAAAGCAGAACAAAAGAGAAGGAGAGAGACAGAGACAGAGACACAGAGACAGAGAAGAGGTAGGCTAATGTTCCACCTCAAGTCCTTTCTCTCTGCCCCATCTCTAAGTTTGTTGATTCTTCTGCCATATTTCACATCCTCTTAGAGTAGGGACATTTTAGTCCATATGAGGGTGCACAGCTCTCTGCCCATTTATATATTTTACGTTAGAAACAGATCCTTTCTTTCACTCAACTCACTAGCTACTCATTAGCATCCTGATCTCTATCTGTCATGCTGTCTGTCCGGGTAAGGCCACTTAACAGGTAGGGCATGCAGATTGTTAAAATTCTCACATACTTTCTCATAGCTGATGGTGGCCACTTCCCTTGCACTGGGGCTCCTCAGCCCTCGCTCAGGATGCCCCGACTTCCTGTAGTTCAGCAACCAGAGGGGTGATCCCTGGCACTGCGGGGGCCTCCTTTTCTTAGCTCTAGTACGTGGTTGGCATCAGTTCTGATTGCCGATGATGTGCTGTATTAGTCATTAAATTTAATAACATGCCTGCATCCATCTGTTATTTTTCCATTCAGCTGCATCTCATACATTCACTGTGTGTCAACACTGGCCTAGTGCTGGAGATACAATGCTAACCAAGGCAGGCAAGATCCCTTCCTTTGTAAAACTTATAGTCTAGATCCGAGGTTCCTGATCGTGTCAGTATTGACATTTGGGGCTTGCTTATTCTTCGCTGGGGGTGAGAGGTATTCTGTGCAGCATTTTTGACCTGCACTCATAAGATTCCGGTTGTACACCCCACAATGTGACAACTAAAGATGTATTGAAACATTTGAGAAGCAAAGTCATTTGCCCTAATTGAGAGGTCAAAAAATTGTTACCACACACATAATTACAAAAAAAATGTACTGAATGCCCATTGTACATTCAACAGGCGAGACGCTGACTGCCAGAGCTCAAAATTTAGTAGCAACAGAAAGTGGTTAGAAGAGTAGAGTTGTCAAGAACAGAATTTAATGCGGTCTGCTAAAAGGAGGAAAGGCAGAGAAAACTGGAGGAAGTAACACCTCAACCTATTTTTTAAAAGTGCTTAAGTATAGTGGAAGGCATGGGCATGCCAGGCCTAGCACAGCTCTGCAGACAGCACCGACAGACGGCAGGCAGGAGAGATGCTAAAGGCCAGGAGAGGGCAAGATGGAAGAGGAGCTGGAGAGGTTGGCAGGAGCCAGATCAGGCCAGTAGTTATAGCCTTAGGGTCTCAAGGCTCAACTAGTAGCATGGTGACAGCAAGAACAAATGAGAGGAGTGGGGTCTCCAGCACTCAGACTGGCCTCTCCAGGGCGCCACCGCGGGCCCTCTCTAAAGACTGCAACGGCCTAAGACCTCGCCTTTCTCTCTTGTGTGTCCCACAAGGTTCCCACTGCCTGACTCCAGTGTCCTTGTCCCCTCCCTCCTGGGACACTAAGTGACATTTACTTTTACAATCCTGCCTCGCTCTTCCATGCCACATGCCCTCACGCATGCAGCTCCTTAAGTCCTCAAAGGAGAAAACACGCACTTATTCTCACAGTTAAAATGATATTTTATCAGTCACTTTCCATTGCCCTAACAAAATACCTAAGGCTGAATACTTTCTGTAGCTAATAGCTTTGGAGACTGAAAGTCCAAATAGCCTTGTGCTGGCTCCAGGAAGGGCCTCCCCAGCTGCATCACATCGTGGTGGATGACGCCATGGCTGGAGCAAATGTGACAGGGGAGATCACGTGGCAAGAAAGGAAGCCAGAGAGTATTCAAAGGTCGGGGTCACTGGTTTTTGTTGTTGTTATTGTTTTGGTACAAGGATTGAACTCACAACTTTGCACTTGTCAGGCAGGCACTTATGCCACTGAGTGCTCTGTCTCTCTCTCTCTGTCTCTCTCTCTGTCTCTCTCTCTGTCTCTCTCTCTCTCTCTCTCTCTCTCTCTCTATCTATCTATCTATCTGTCTATCTATCTATCTATCTATCTCTCACTAACCAGGATCCCACAAGAACATCAGCTCCTTGCAAAGGGCAGCACCTTGGGTGACCTCCTTTAAAGGGTCTACACCACTGGCCAACATTCGGCACTTGAGGGTCCAAGTTTCCAACACATTAACCCCTTAGGGGACACACTCAGACCACATCCAAACCATAGCAAGTATCAACTGGAATGTTTAACAATATAGAATTCATTTAGTAAATTTTCAGTCAATTAAAATGGTGTAGAAATAATACTATACCTGAAAAACTAGCCATGCTGTATTGTTAAATTATAAAACAGTAGGTACCTAGTGTAATGTTACTAAATATGTATGTGTATGTTAACCATACTTATTTCCAAGAGAACAGTTAGGAGGAATTTTGATTTTTAACCTTTCTGGGGGAGGGCGTACTAGGATATACCCTTGGCAAGGGCTCTACCATTGAACTAACTTTTCTTTTGATTTATGAAATTTAAATTTTCTAATACACATTTTTTTGAGATACAGTCTCACTATGTAATTAGGTTGACCTTGAACTTACAATTTAGCCTAGGCGAGCCTCTAATTCACAGCAATCTAACTGCCTCAGCCTCCCAAGTGCAAAGATACAGGTGTTTGTCAACTGCCCCCATCAGTAATATACAACTGTTACTTTTTTTTTTTAAACTGTTACTTTTAGGATAAGAAACAAAGTTCCTCTAGGGATCTGGCTAGCAGTGTTCGCAAAAGCCATTGACCTCTGGCTGTTTCCTGTGACTGCACTCTGTAGACAAGGCAGTATTTTCCTCCAGAAGGACTGCAAGTGAGACTAATTCATTAAGTGCCTTCAGTTCCAAAGATGACAGGAGCCAGGAAAGCATAAAGTCTTGTTACTACGACAGCCAGTAGCCTTGATGTCTGTGTGTTTATTTATTAACTGAACTTTATGTATCTACGCTCCCACAAGCTCGAGCAGCCTCCTAGCTGACCTTGATACAAATCACATTCTCAAAATGGCCTAAGCCATCAGTCAGAAAAAAGGCAAGTTCGTCTCATCAAAGGGACCAAGATTACTGTCCTGGGAAGCAAAATGAAAGAGGATATTGGCCCGATTGTGAGGTGTTAGAAGAAAGTGTTGGGAAGGAAACCAGATAGCTCGGTCACTTTCTTTAAAGGCATTTCATGCCTTTTGTGTGTGTGTTTTGTGTTTTTTCACCTTTAAACTTCAAAACAGTTGTGAGAAATTCTTCACCTAATACAGTTGTTGAAACTGACACTCAGAAAAAGTGAAAAATTAGTAAAGAGCAAAGCTTGGGTTTTAGCATGGCATTTTCTGACCACCACCCACCCCTCTGTGTTGCTGATATCCATGCTCCCCACATGCAGGGAATTTTAAGCTTGGAAAATGTCCTATTGATTTTGGCTTAGAATTTACTCAGCTGGAAGAAGATGCCAGCTGCTCTTGTTGAATGAATGGATGAATGAATGAACAAAAGAAAGAATAATTTTAAAGGGTCATATAATCAGATCAAGGCAGGGAGTGATAATCACATTAGAGTCCTATCTCATAGATGGTTGCTACAAATGAATGCAGCGAAGATTAGATCCTTCTTTCTGTTTCCTATCCAAGAGGTGTAAGTATAAAAGACGTGATCAAAATGAACCTGAATGTTTAAATGTTTTTGAAAAAATGTATCACAGTAATTGAGCACATACACTTACTGCTCTGTGCTTGCCACTTTATGAAGCTGTCCTAGAAGTCCTCTGTTATATTTTTCTAAAGTATGATAAAATAATTTTGGTGGACGCTGCTGCTAAGTGCCAGCCAATGGAAAGGCAGGCTTGTGAAAACATTACGGTGTTATCCTCATCAGCTCTATTCACCAGATCTGGCAGGGTGAGACTTCTGGCTCTCCCCCAAAGTCAAGATGACCATGAGAGGTAAACAGGTGGAATCAATTCAGGACACCGACGTAGTATGAGAGCACAGCCAAAGGCATTTAATGGGAGAGGACTTCCAGAGCCGCTTCAGAACGTGGCGAGGATGAGGAAATGTATTCCAGGTGAGGGGGATTATTGAGGAGGGTTAATGGCAAAGTGTCTTTTAATGTAACAAAATACTTTACATCTTTATTTTCTTTTTTAACATTTCTAGCATTCACCATATTTTACTCCTTCCTCTTATGCTTTAATGGGACTGAACATCAGGAGAGTCATTTTTCTGGGGCTGCAAAGGATGGAGATCATGCTAGGGACGTGGGTCAGTCCTGCTACAGTTTGGAGGAGGAGTGGTACTAGCCTAGTTCAGTTCCCATGCACAAATCTAGATGTCTGTTTGCAAGTTGATCACTAAAGTCCTACTGTGTCTAAAAGTGTCTGCACCACCCATGCTGTAGAGACACAGAGAGAGGGAAACCCAAATGGTGAAGCTCCCTGGGCCACTTGTGAGAGAAATGCTTTATTTATTTATTTTTTTCATTATTGTCAAACTGACAGCTTTCCTTGGCTTGGCTGAAGAGCGGTTTTCCTCCATGTGTGTGCTGTCAACTTCAGGAATGCTCAACTTTGATAATTGGGTCAGCAAGTGCAACTTGAGAGAAGCTTTGGTTGCATCTCTCATCTCCTTAGTCATCTTCCTTGTTTTGCATAGAAAAAGACTCCTGTGCATCTTCTTCCTGATCTGTATTAGTCAGCAACAGGGATGAAGACCATTGTGTCCAGACCACTGTGGGGGCCTATAAGAGAAATACTTGGGGCAACATGACGGTCACTATTTTCCAGGCGTTCAGAGTGTAGGGAAGGAAAAGGTAATTCCCTCACTACCCTTCACAGTTCTTAGCTGGGACCCTGTAACAAACTTATTAACAAATGAAAAGAAATATGAGTTTACTAATACATATAGCCTATCTCCATGGGAGATATCCGGGAGAAAACTAGTAAATCTCAAAGAGGTAGCATAGACTTCGGACTTCAATACCATCTTCATCTGACAAAAGACAAAAGAGAGAAGGGAGTGGGGGAAGTGACAGAGTGAGGTTTATTGTGCAGATCTGAGATGGAGCGCTCTCCAGGGTGAGACAGTTGTGACGACTCAGGCTCCCCTTTTGGTTCATCAAGGAAGACGCCCTCCCTCACAAAAGGAGATTTCTGTTATGCACTGGACGTAGACTTCCCTTACAGATGGAAGCTGTTTTCAGAGCTGCTCCCGTGCCTGCAGTTTCTTAAGATAATATTTATGCCAATGAGGCAGATTTGGGAGTGCATAATCTACAACAGCTACTTTGCAAAGAAAATATGACTTTGGGATTATACAAAAATACCATCGAAATAATTGAAAACCTGTGCGCAAAGAGGCTACAAAATGCTCTCCCAGCTCCTTTTGTCTTCTGAAAGAATTTGGGGTGGATTCTACTTTTTCCAACTTGCCTTCTGCCCTAAGAATGTGTAATTCTTTAATCACAAGTCTAATGAATTTAATCAGGAAAAAAACCTGAAGTAGCTACCTTCTGAGAAAGGCATAAGACACTTTGGAGAAGTATATCTTAGCCTGACAGGAGACACATGGTGTCTGGTGATGCGGGCTGCAGCAAATCCCTGTGGAAACTGAGAGCCAGGCCTCACAAAGCCCGCAAATAGCAGAGAAATCCGAATCCTTGGGTTTGTGCAATGCTGTAAGGCGGCTGCCTTCCCTCTGAGGAGAAGCACTGTCTCAGGTACTGGAAAGAACCTGAATTCCTCCCGTTGACCCTCAGTCACACTGTTCTGCTGTTTCCTTGCCAGCCCCATCCATTGTGGATCGGGGGACTGCTTTTAAAAATTATTTCTAAGAGATTGCATGTGTGTGTGTGCGCACGCGCACACACACACATATCCACTCACTGGGGGAACTCTTTGTATCTTATTTGGGAAATCATAATGCTCTTGGGCAAAAGAGACACCTGAACCAATCAAATCATCTTCCCAAGGCTTAAAAGAAATGAGATTCACAGAACTGGCCGGCAGCCCTATAGAAAACAAAGCTGACAGAGACGCCTGCGTGGATGCAGGGTGACCTTGACGAGAGAAACACTGGCTAATATTTTTACCTGTGCTCTCCCTTCCCTTATGATGTTAGTGCCATCACACACACCAGCAACAGACTGCTGCTTATTTTCGTAACACCTGGGCAGAAGGAAGAGAAGACATCAAAGGAAAGAAGAGTACAGAAAAACTGAGCCATAAAAGAAGAACAAGTCTTGTTTAAAACCCTCTGGACGATCTTTAGGGTTAGCAGACAGGTTAGCAGAACTCTCATTCAGGGCTCCAGCAGCTCAAATTCTGTAATCTCAAGGATTCCCTGTTAAATTTAATGTCTTTCCTTGTGTCTTTCCTCAGATATCCACCTATAGAAGGTCCAGTAGCCATAGGGTACCAGACTTGCTGAAGAGTCTCCCAGTTTTAGCATTGTCTTGTATCCAGGAATCCTCTCACTTCTGGGCAAATGGACATAGTTGTTTGCCCTGGAAGAATAATTGCTTCAGAAGAAACTCCCAGAGTGCAAAGGGTGTTTCCCCAGCCCCTTCTGGAAATGGTCTCCAGAAGTAATTAGGAATGTGGGATCTGGGCACACAGCCAGGATGCAAATCCAACCTCTGGCACGTACCTGTGTGAGTCTGGACAAGTCACTTGATCTCTGTGTGCCTCAGTTGCTTCATCTGTAAGATGGCAATAATGATCATCTGTTCCTCTAGAGGTTACTATAATTCAATACATAAAAAGCACTGTTATTTAAAGTGATGTCTGTCTCATAGAAAGGACTTAATAAATGTTGGTTATGATTATTTTGTCAGTATCTGCCTGATAATAAATTAGAAAGGTAACAAGATCTCAGAATGGACAGAATGCCTCCTTAGATTTCACCTCAGTGCCTCCAAATTTAAATGCATTCCACACATTATAACAACACCTTCTGTTTTAGTCAGCTTCTCTGTCACTGGGAAAAAAATAACTGTTACCTACGATATAAATGAGGAGAGGTTTATTTGGCTCTCTGTTTCAGAGGCTTCCATCCCTAGCTGGCTGGCTCCAAAGCAGAAACACCATGGTGGAAGGGCTTGGCACAGGAGCACAGCAGTGAGCCAGTGCCACACAGGAAGAAGCCAGGGACGGGATACAGTAGCTAAGGTTAGACATCCATCACCACACAGACACACCCAGTGGTGTGCTCCACAAACCCTCGAGGCTGCTCGCAAACCGATCAAGTTGATAATACAGCTTACCTGTCACAACTTCCATGTCCAACTCCATGCTTTCTCCCTCGTCCCTCAATGGTGATAGCTGGCATCCTTGTCCCTCAATGGCAGAGGTTGGTTTGACCTACCTCAGAGTGGATGTCACTCCACCCCACCTGGTGGCAGGAGGTAGGGTGTGATGTAGAAGTCCAGTACCTCTCAGACTCACATGAAGAATGTGCATACAAACCACTTGGACACCTTGTTGTGTGTGGACTCTGATTCAGCAGATCTGTGATGGGGCCCAGGATTCCGCATTTCTAGCAAGCTTCCAGATTATGCTGCTGGCTTGGGACCATGCTGTGAGAAAAAGGCCATGCAAGTGTCAGCTTGTGGGAATCTGAGCAAAAGCCTGGGATACACATGTCCATCTGATGTTCCTGAAGGGCAGAGTGAGTGCTGGGGGGGGGGGGGAGACAGATGGAAATCATTAGGCTCAGTATCTGAGGAGAGCAGCTCAGAAAATGGAGAAGCCAACAGGGCACCAAAACTCTAGGCCAGTGTGGAGACCTCTGGTGTTACAAATAGCTAATAAAATAAATGAAGGAACGGAGCTTTGGAAATATTATCACAGGCTTCTTGCTCTGTTATGTCATGGATTTGTTCTCTTAAATGGTGGGCAAAGGGTGCAGTGCCCACCAGTGCCCCAGGAAGAAGGCAGGATCAGGGTGACCAAGAAAAGTCCAGAACTGCTGCCTAAAGATACAAAAAGCCCTAAAGCTGGGCGTCAAGCCTCCTCACCCCAAACCTCTTCCCAGAATGTGACCTGGCCTGGGAAACACCCCATACTTCCTCGGTGACCTGAGAACAGCAGTCTGGCTGTTACACCTCCATGTTAAACAGGCAGCCCAACCTCTGCCAAACAATCTGGGTACCAAAAATAAGCATAAACCGGTGATGCACGTTGCTCCTTCTTCAAAGCCTGGATCAGTAGTCCTGCCTGCCCCCCCAGTCCCAGTGTCTCCCCTCAATCTCACTGTCAGGCACCAAGATAATACTATCACATAGTACAGGGAATCTGCTTTCTGCCATGTTCAGATTCTGGAGAAACCCTCCCAGGAGAGGTCAAGGAGAAGGGTGGAGCGGTTAGAGTCCAGTTCTGCCCACTGTTGCATGGATTCTCTTCAGCCAGCCGTGTGCTAATGTGAAAAATGGCCTTATGATAATGAGCGCTAAAAGCACTCAGCAGATCCTGGGCCCAGCCAGAGACTCAGGGTCTTGTGCAGCTGCCCACCCGCCCTCTGCCTGCTCTCAGCCTTCATGCTCTTTTAATCTCCCGCATGTCCGCCTGCGAGTGTGCTGCACATTTGTATCTGTCGCTTCAGATCCCCCCGCATGGCTGCGCTCAGCCAACTGGGAGCCTGCTCCTTTCTCCCCAGATGTTCCCGGAGGACAGCCCAGCCCAGCCTATGATAAAGGCTTCCACTTCCCTTTGTTTCTCTCTCTCCTGTTGATGCCTCTGCCCCCACCCCAACACACACACACACACACACACACACACACACACACTCACACACACACACTCACACTCATACTCTAAAACACACACACACAGTCCTCTACCCCTACCTTACACTGGTTCCCCCAAATGCAGCCTGCTGGGACACAGCTGCCTATTACTGATGGATTACCAGAAGTTTGGGAGCTTCCAAACACAGCTTTCTTCACCCCCATTTCCCTGAGTGGCTCCCTTAAAGGACTGTAATGCTATCCCAGTCCCCCTTTCCAAAACAGACAAAAGCAACAGCATCCCAGAAATCTACTCTAGTATGTCCCAACAATTCCTATAGTCAGAAAGGACCTCAGAAGATTAAAAAAAAACCTGTGTTTAAACAATACATTAAAGTTATCATCTTGACTATTTTAAGTGTGTTGTTCAGTAGTATATTTACATTGCTGGACGACAGATCTCTAGAACTTCTTTCATCATGCAAAATTGAAACTCTATGTCTACTAAACACTTATCTCCCTTCTCCCCAGCCCTCAGTCCTTGGCAGTCCTTACCTTCTACCTTCTGTTTGTATGATTTTTTTGGACTACTTTAGATACTTCTTATAAGCAGAATCATACAGGATTTATCCTTTTGTGAATGGCTTATCTAGCTTACATAATCTGTTGGAGGTTCCTCCATCTTGTACACATGACGATATTTCCTTCTTTCTAAGCCTGTGTGATACACCCTTTATCTGTTTATCTGTGGAAAGACATTTGAGTTGCTTCCCCAGAAGTTTTAGCCTCTTATTTTGCAACTTGTTATCCATAAAGTGACTCGTCCAGATCATGGAGCTAATAAAATATATTTGTCCTGGATTTTATCATTGTCTTTTGCATCAGCATCTAAGAGGCTCTTCTCAGACCTTACATTAGCTGAGACAGGTACCCTGAGATTTTTTACACCCCACAGCAGCAGGAGATGCCAGCCAGGCTTGCACTAGGAGATTGTGTACCCATGAGGGTCTCCACCTTTGGCTTTGGTGTAGTCAAACATCTTCTGTGTATGGACATTGGATTTTTTTTATTATATGAGGAAATTATTGTTAATTTATTTAGGTATCTTAAGATACTGTGATTTTTTTTTTTTTTTTTTTTTGTCTTTTTCATTTTTGTCGGTACCGGGGATCGAACTCACGACCGCCTGCTTGCAAGGCAGGTGCTTATGCCGCTGAGCTAAATCCCCAATCCCGATACTGTGATTTTTTTAAAAAAGAAAAACTTTTAGAACCAGGAGTAGTGGTATATACCTGTAATTCCCAGCTACTCAGGACACAGAGCTGGGGGATAGCAAGTCCAAGGCCTGCCTTAGATATATAACAAACCTGTTTCAAAATAAAATAGTCAAAAGCAAAGGACAAGAGTACTTGCCAGTGTTAGAGTACTTGCCTAGCATGTGTGAGTTCCTGGATTCAATCCCCAGTACCATAGAAAATCAAAAACAAAACTTTTAGGGAGGTGTACTGAAATGTTTATAAATTAAACATATAATATCATGATATCTAGGATATGCTTTAAAATCACCAGCAGAAAGTTTAGATGAAACAAGATTGGTAGCTCATTATACTGTTCTCTCTACAATTGTATTTGAAATTTTCTAAAATAAAAAATTCTACCCTGAAATATTTTTTAATCTTACATTTGGACACAGCCACACTTGCCTCCCTCTCACTCATGGGAACTCTGCAGACTACTGCTAAGGTGGGAGCAGGTTTGACTCAATTGTTCCCCTCTAAGTAGCAACACGACCTCTCCTTCCTCCTTGTGGAAAATAAGGCATCATCACCACTGTGCCCACAACGTAAGCAAACACAGAGACCCTGCTCATGTGGGGATGGCAGCCGAAGATAGGTTTGCAGCCCTGTGGCGGAAGTGTTGGGGTAAGAAGGCTCCCACCTTCCATGGAGCATCCGCACTCTAGGCTCCGTCTTCCCTCAGGAACATGGGGAGCTCCCCCACTAGTCAGTCCTATTGGCAGTCATCAGCCCCCTAACTTAAAGACATTTTGGTTACAGCACAAAGTAAATATGTTAGCTTGTTTGTTTATGCACGCATTTCTCTCTCATCCCTCATTCTTGCCTTTTTCTAACCACCCACATCCAGCCAACGCCAGCTCTGATTGAATAGTCACTCTGTCCATATGAATCCTTGGTCTTGGCCATTACCCCAGACCTAGCCCCTGACGGCTCCTGCTCACCCTGACCTCCTGCTTCTCATTCATTCTTCTGATCAGTCATTCGTCCCTTGTGATTAACACCCTGAAAGTCTTCCCATGGCCCCAGGATGATGTCCAAATTACAGCGAGGATTTATAGGCTTTGGGGACCTGGCTTCTCTTGGTCGGTCCACTCTCACTTTCCAAGCCCACTGTTTTCTATGGGTAGGCTCCAGCCCCCTGCAGTTCTTCAGTTCTTCAGAAACGACACTGTTTCTCACTCCCAGGCCCTTGCAGGTGCTGTTCCCTCTGCCTGAGACACCGAGTCCCCTTCGTCTAGACAATGCAGGCATCCCACAGGCTCCAGCTAAAGCTCACTTCCTCCCAGAAGCCTCCCTGACCTCCTCTCTCCAGTCAGATTAAGGTCTCTCTTCCACACTCCCCTGGTTGCTTCCCATCAGCCTTTCATCCTCCGTAATGGTGGGTGGTCGGTAAATATTTATTTGAACCGATGAGCATATTTGAGTTACAGGAAAGAATTATAACAAGAATGTCATAGGATCCTACTTTCCCCAGATACCCCTGTGCCTTTTCAGGCATTTCACGAGTGTTTCCTGGGCAGACTAAGGAAGTTGCCCAATTGCCACGGAATCTATTGTCAGCCTCTTGGTGGCCTGCATGTCCTCTGTGGTCACATGTGCTCTTCTGCTTCTATAGACCTTCTCACATCTCTACCACACCCCATGCAGGACCACACAGTGCCCGCTGGATAATCTCCTTTGTCAGAGGAGCTCCATAATAGTCCCACAGCTCCAGCCTTAGTGAAGGTTCCAAGTTAGGGTGTCCCTTCCACAGGAACCGAAGGGTGTACCCTTCAGCTTGCAGCCCTGACACCTTTGCACCCACAGAGCCTCACCCAACACTGGGGGCCTTGCCTACCCTCCAACTCCATGCTCAGAGCCAGTGCCTCAATATCTGGTCCTCACCGAGGGTCCCTTGTGAGAGCTGCTGTCCCTCTGCTCTCTTTGAATGTTTGTCTCTCCCCCTTGTTCTGTCCTTTCGGTTCTGATGTGTTCCTCTGGTTTGTGCTTCCATCTCCCTTCCTCTTTCAGGATCTTATGTGCTGACTGAACCCATTTTTCTTACACTTTTGACCTGGTTCCTTTGTCCCTGGCTCTTCTACTGCCTTCGACCTCCAGCTCTTATAAAAGTCCCCTCTCCCAGCCATCACATGACCCAAAGCTAATATCATGGCTCTGCTTCTTCTTTACATTAGGAGTCTCAGCCCCCAACCGCAGTATCATCACAGCTGTCCATTCACCCCTTCCTCCAGCTCCGACACTGTCACACTGATAATGGCCTCAACAATGTCCAGTCCCAATCCTAAGCAGGGTCCTTGGCCTGTCTGCTACCCAGCATGCCAACATCCATCCCTCTGTTCAGACACTGTCCTTGGGCTCCCTGCTACATGTCAGCCTGCCTTGTTTTCTGCACTTTTTCATTCTCTCTGACTTTCCTGCTGGCACATCCATCTTCGTGACTCTCGAGATTCTGTCTTCTGTCTACACCGTCTACCCAACTGCTCCGAATGATCCTGCTAAGTGGTCAGCACCAGGTTTATGTCTACAACCCAAACACCTCTCTTACTCT